CAGAGTAAACTCTGTATTTAAATTTCTTTGAGTTTTGATTATTAACAAAAAGCATTTTCTGCATTTCAATTATTGAAAAGAATTTGTGCAATACTAGTATATTGCTTTCTTATAAGTTTGTAGTAGTTCATATTTAAAGACTACTGATTATTAGCATTTCTTTGCCAGAGGTTGGTTGGTTGTTTTTTTTTTAATTTTATTTTTTTTGTGCGTGTGTACCATCAAATTGGATCTGACTGGTACAGGAGGAGATTGTTTCTCCTTCTCCAACAGAGCATCTGGTGGATTTGAACCGTGCACCTCTGGGATTGCAGTACAGTTTCTTGCCACTAGGCCACCAAAGCTTGCCAGAGCTTGTTTTTTAAATTAATGTTGTTGTTGTTGTTATGTGCTGTCGAGTTGCCTGCGACTCACAGCGACCCTACGTACAACAGCCCTAAACTCTGCCCTATCCTGTGCCAATCTCACCATCTCCGACACACCTGCCCCCATCACCCCAGGCAATGAATCAGTCCATCTCATCGAGGGTCTTCCTCCACTCTCCTAAGCATGACATCTCTCTCCGAGGACTGGTCCCTCTTTGCAAATTTCCAAAGTATGTCAAATGAAGCTTCAGAATCCTTGCCTCCAAGGAGCAACCTGGCTTCACCCTCTCCAGGAAAAATCTGTTCATTTTCCCAGCAGTCCATGGTATATTCAATACTCTTCTCCAACACCATAGCTCAAAGGCATCAATTCTCCTTCTATCATCCCTAGTCATTGCCCAGCTCTCTGACACATAACAAGTGGTTGCAAAGACCATGGCATGTATCAGGCACACCTTAGTTTCCAGACTGACATCTTTGCACTTCAGCACCTTAGAGAGGTCTCCAACCGCAGACTTTCCCATCGCAATGCTTCTTTTAATTTCCTGGCTGGTGGTGCCAATAGTGTTGATTGTGGATCCAAGCAAATCAAAATGAATAGCTTTATTTAATTATAGCACATTTTTCAAATATTCTGTTCTTGTTCTGTTCATCTATTCTGTTCTTGTTATTTTTAAATATTCTGTAAGCAATACTTTTCCAGGAATTTGTACAGTATAATTAGTTTTTCAAATTATTAGTGTGAACTCCTTTACTTCCTGTAACAGTATTTTTCATTGTAGTAAAATGCATATAAAACTTTATAGGGAGCTCTAGTGGCCCAGTGGTTAAGGAATTGCACTGCTAACTTAAAAGCAGGTGCTTTGAATCCACCATTTGCTTATTGTGAGAAAAATGAGCAACTTCCTCCCATGTAATTCACAGCCTCTGAAAACGTAATAGAGGGTCAGGAGTTGGTTTAACTTGACAGCAATAAATTGAGTTTAAGTGAATAATTCCGTTTTGTTAATTGCCTTTGCTATGTTGTATAGATAGATATAGGAAAGATCCTGTCTTGATGAGGATCAGGTATGGAACGTTTGGTTGATTTTAGTTTTTTCCTTCACAATCGGGTGTCAGCTGATTGAACTCGCCAGATTTAGCTAATAATGAGCTGTGAGCTGGAAGTCTCTTGGTTTACAATCAACTAGCACTTGGTGGGTGTGCCTGTATTTAAAAGTTGTAAGAGTCTCATGCTTGCAGCCCTTGAGCCTAGTGTTAATTGATTCTGAGATGAAAATTCTTTTAAGTGGTTCAGCAGTCTATTTGCTGTACTGAAGTAACTTAGGGCTGCTGTGATGCTGAATGCTGTGCCATAGGTGTATCAAATGCCATAACGGTTACCCATTGTGGAGCTCCTAGATTTATTCAGATTTGGAAGCAGGAGTGGCATCCACTTCCTAAACCACATGCTGCTGGAAACTCTATGAACATAGAGAAACAATGACAGTTATAGAACAAGGTTCAGGTCTTTTGTTCATAGGTTCTCTATGAGTCATACTTGGTGGCACTTAACAACAATATGCTGTATACTACCACTTGTCTGTCAGTTTGTCATACTGTGGTAGATTGCATGTTGCATGTTGCTTGGTGCTGGGATCTATGCAAGCAGTATTTCAAATAGCATCAAGGCCATCTGTGGTGAATAGGTTTCAGCAGAACATCCAGACTAACTAAAACAGACTGGGAAATAAAGAAACAAAACTGACCCTTCTGTACAGTAGCAGATGTGAAGAGCTGTCTGTCATCTTTAAGTAGAATCAGTCTTAATGATGAAAAGGAGCAAAGCTTTGTTTTCTCTGCTGATATAGCACAATTCAAAGTTAGAAGAAACAGCTGCAAACATCTACTAAAAGATTGAAATGTAGAATGTACAAAGTACTAATCTAGGAAAATTGAGAGTAATTAAAAATTAAATGGAGCACATACACAAAGATTGATATTCAAGGCATTAGTAAACCTTTTCTAGTTTACTAAGGTGAAAGATTAAGTACTGGTTTGAGATCTTCTTTTTGTTGTGTGCCAGTGCCTTGGAACTGATCCACAGATGACCCTCCAGTAGGTTTTCAGAGACAGTATATCACAGGAGGAGATTGCCCAACCTTCTCCCACAGAGCATGCCTTTGGCATTGCAGCTCAGCTTTTACCACTGGTATCTTCTTAACTAATATAAGTATTTGTCCTTAAATGCTCCTATATTTTTTTACATATTGTTGAGTATGGTAGAGTCAGAACTGACTCATAGTTGACACTCCAGTGGATTCTCAGAGGCAGTAAATTGCAGGGAAGGAGATTGCCCATATTTCTCCTGCAGAGTGGCTTGCAGATTTGAGTTGCTTACTTTTGGGTTGGCAACAAAATCCCTTACCACTATGCCCCATAGTAGATAGTCATTTTTACATGTTGCATTCATTTTCTTTCTATTGTTGTTGTTAGGCACCATGGGGTAACTTATGAATAACAATACTTTTCTAATTCTTTTTACTCATGAGATATCTAGTAGGTTCAAGTTGAAGCAGAAAAAAATGGAAACATGTCCACAACACCCATGGAAAACGGATCTTTGACAAAGAAATGAAGCCCATTAAGTATGGAAAAAGATAGCGTTTATAACAGATATAAAAGATGGTTTTATATAACAAACTGTGGTTAGTCTCATCTTCTTCATAGTCTATCATGGAACACTCCTCATCCTCTCTCCACTAGTTTTATCCCCCTAGCACAGTCGCTCAGGTATCATAAAATGTCACATAGTTTGTACCTCATTCACACATGGTCACTCCTAACACCAATTCACTATGCTTTATCCATTTATACTCCCAGAAGCACAGAGTGTCAGAATCAAAGGATTATGCACGTGTAGTTGACAACAGCTTTTTGTGCGAAGGTAGTAAACAAGAAAAAAAAATGGAAGTTATGATTACAAATCCATGACGAAATCCGTAAATGGGAGCGCCAGGGGAAAGGTGTCATGGGCGAGGCCTGTTTAAACATGTAACACTTACACCTGAATTTAGGAAAAATGGGAATCTCGAGGGTATATGCTAGAAGAGCAATATTATAACTCGGGAATACTCTCCCATCACTAAATCTTAAACATACTAACCATATGAGTGATGCTCTCCACCTTGACTGCGCCTCTCCCATCTCCAAGGTAACCAGAGCAGGAACACAATGCGTCTGCGCGCTCTAGCCCACAGTCTCTTGGCTTCGTATCAGGTCCTGCGGACTCACCCCTCGCGCGTTCTGTGTAGACGTGTACGCGGGCACGCTCACATTCACACCTGGTCCTGCACCGCTAACCCCTCAGACCCATTGCCCCCAGCTGATTGTTGATTCCGAGCAATTTGTAGGCGTAGAACTATGAGGTTTCCGGGGCTGTAATTTTTACAGAAGCAGGCTGCCACATCTCTCACCCTCAGAGAGGCTCCGAGTGCAACTTTTGGGTTAGCAGTCGGGAGCTTAAGCACCATGCCAGCAAGGATGCCCCGCAGTTAAGTGGCAACCCTAAATCACCCAGCAGGAGGCTGCGGGAGACAGGCCTAGCGCGGGTGCTTGCGCACGTCAGTCCCAGACCGTTTTTAATGACGTTCGGCCCATTCCCTGTGGGTGGACTCAGTCCTGGGCGTAAAGACTCCCAGTTTGGGGACTTGGCTCTGGGAGGCTGTGGAGTGAAACGAAGAGGAGCGGGAGGACGGGCCAAGGGGGCGGTTTTACGGACCCGGAGCCGAGCCAGTGGTTTCCCCCTGCGGACTACATTTCCCGGTGGCCCATGCTGGCATCAGGCTGAAGGCCCCTTTGTGTCCTCCCGAGACCCAAGCAGCCCTGGCGCTTTTCTGCAACGCTGGGTTAGGGTGCGCAAGTCGAGATTCCCTGAACGTTCAGGACCAGGACGGGATCTCTCCAGAGTTCAATTGTGCAGGTAGGAAGAGGGCCCGAGGAGCTGAGTCACCGAGACGCCTGTTTCCGGGGCCTGTGTGATTCTACCCAAAGTGCCTGTCGGATCTCTGTGATTGTGGGTGTGAATGAGTGCACCGGAGTCCTACTAATGTAAATGCATCGGGGCCTCTAGGTGATTGAAATTTGTGTGAGGTTATGCTACTCCAGTGTTTGAAGCTTGGGGATAAGTGAGGTGATCTTGTGAGGCTGTGTCTGACTTTGGCGTGTGTCAGATGGCAATTCTTTTTTGATTTTGTGGGTATTTGGGGGAGGGCGGGAAATGATGGAGAATGTTTACCACCCAGTTTCTTAAATCTAGCCAGGTAATTCCGGTGTGTATCCAGATTTCAAAATCCTTGATTTGGGCTTTGGAGTCAAGCAGAGTTTTATTTACTCATGATGCAATTTTTATTAGTTATGTGTCTTTATGTAAATGTTTTCATTCCTTTATCTCTAAAAGCTGAAAGAATTGTGTTGTTAAATTGGGGAGTGATTTGAGCATGGGTTAAATTGTATGTAAACTAATTCCTAGGTCTGCCTTATGCTCTCTGTTTGAGGGAAGATTGGAACCGGGAAAGAGAAGTCAGTAAATTCTAGCCAGTTGGTTCTTGATGCTGCAAGGAAAACTTGATTTCTCATGTCCTCCACTTCAGTCATCTAAGGATAATACCATTTGTCAAGAGAAGAGCCTGGAAGACGGAGGAATGGCTCTTGGAGTTTTGAATACCATGTACCAGGTGACTTTACATTTTTCTCTCTTGCTTGAAATACCTTCCTGCTTTTCAAACTACGCAGACTTAAACTTTCTTTCCTTTTTATAAAAAGTTTCTGGGTTATCATTTCTGTCTCTCCATAGCGGCTTTTCATCTCACTCAGGATAAATGAAGTCCTTGACTTGGCCCATGGGCACCTACAAATCTAGTCCCTAACTTTCCCCCTCTTGTTATGTGCTGTTGAGTTAGAACCAACTCATAACTAACCCTCCTAGCAGGTTTTTAGAGAGAGTAAATCAAATGGCAGGAGACTGCCCATCTTTGCCCATTGGAGCAGCTGGTGGATTTTGACCACATGCCTTTGGGTTGGTAGTGCAGCTCCTTACCACAAAGCCAACAAAGCTCCTATACATAGGGATGAAGCAGCTTAAATGTAGTCCTATAAAGATGAGCCATGCCAAGAGTAATAGAAGTTCAAGGACCCCTACAGGTCTGAGGGAAAGTCCTGATCTTCTTCTTTGTTGTTGTTTTTGTTGTCTTACTTGTTGTATGCTGTCAAATTGGATCCTACTAGCACAGGAGGAGATTACCCTTCTTTCTCCAGCAGAGCACCTGGTGTATTCGAACCATGCAGCTTTGGGGTTGAAGCGCTGATCTCCTTTTAACATTGCTAATTCCAGCATTCCTTGGAGATCTCCATGTGTCTTGGCATGGATCTTCCTTCCTCTTGATTCTAGGAGGTTCCTAGCTCATAGATCTTGATACAAAGGAAGCATTCCACTTCTGACTCTTCTTCTTGATGGTACTGAGATTTTTCTTTTTCCATTTTGAACTTTTTATATTGGTTTATGTACAAAATTTGTATACATCATATTTCACACTTTCCATCATTCACATTGTGTTTCATTCAGTCATTCCCGTACATTGTGTGTTATAAAATTAATCACCATTGAACTGTGCCCACCATCATCTCATCTTTTCAGGTCCCCACAGAGGGAGCTCTAATGTTAAGAAACTGAAATCCCTAAGGATGGGGTTTGAATCCACGAATTGCTCTGTGGGAGAAAGGTGGGCAATATCTCCTGTGTGATTTACTGTTTCTAGAAACCCATTGCAAGGTCAGCCATGGGTTGGTTCTGATTTGATGGTACACAACAATAACAATATCTCAAAAAAGATTTACTCAAGATAAAATCTAATTCTATACATCGTATCCTGTCTCATCAACAGAACTGCCTTTAATCCTGCCTCATTAACATCACTGCCATCGAGTCAGAATTAATTTATAGCTGATCCTTTGGTGGGTTTTCAGAGGTTGTAAATTGGATGGAGGATATTGCCCATCTTTTTCACTCAGGTAAGCTGGTGGATTTGAACTTCGTGGCTTCGAGTTGGCAGTATAATTCCTTACCATCAGAGCTCGCTCATTAACATCATAGGGGATAGGATTTACAAGATATAGGATCACAAAATGGACATAATTACATAGTACTGAGAATCATGACTTAGCCCCATTCACATATTTTTGGCAGATACAATTCAATCCATAACAATTCCATCTTTTGAGACTAAGATTCTTATCCTTGCCAGATTAAAATGTATTTACCATATCATTCCAAAAGTCTTAAATATAAGTCCAAATTCTAACCTGGGGCAGAATTTTTTTTTATTTGTGAAACTATATTACAAATTGCTGCTTTCAAAGTAAAATGGTGAAACCGACATAAGGTAAATATTTCTATTACTAAGGGGAGAAATTGGAGAGGAGGGAGTAATGGACACCGAGCAAGTTTAAAAAACGAACAATTTACAGTAGTGCTCAAGGCTCAAAAATAATATGTTATAGGCAGCACCAGACTTTGAGTGTTAGTAATGCTTCCTGGATTCTAGCCTCTTAGGATCAGATATATCAGGATGAAGACAGCACAGGATAGCACATGATTCACATCTGTTGTTCATAGGTCATTATGAGTTGTACTCTACTTGATGGCATCTAACAACAACAACAGCTCTTTTTTTTAGCCAGATTAACAAAGTTTATTTTGAGTTCGAACCAGGGCTCCCGTGTGCTGACACAGCAGCATCCACCCGAGAGCCACAACAACAGCTCTTGACTTCAGTTCTGTCTTACAGATTCACTAAAATAGCAGCTCTGCTTTCTCAGCTTTGGATAGCCCCATTCTTCTATTCTAGTACAGCAGAGTAGTGATGGGAACCCCACCCAGTCAGTCCTGTAAGGCCTGATTTTTTGTCCCTTCCTCATAGCAGCCCTACCACGTCAATTCTGGATTCAGCCTTACTCTCTTGGACAAATAGCCGCCCTCACCCTTTAGAACAAAGTTGGTGAAGATTTTACCTCTTGAGAACAGTAGGCTTTGGCCTGTCTCCAGAGTTGCAGCCCCACCATTTGAGACAGAAGCTGCTCTGTTTCCGATGATGCTTTCAGTTTCTGACTCCTGCTTCCTTGGCCTTTTACACCGCCTTAGCCCAAACGTACTGAGCTCTCTCACTCCACACTCAACAAGTCTCCTCTGCCAATAAGCACTAGGAAGCAGCACATCTGTAGGAAATTTCACCCAGTGGTACTCTGCTCTTTTGCTCCATAGGTGAGCTTCTCTATTTCATTTTTCTTTTCTTTTTTTTTTTTTTTACAGAGACTTTGGATTTCCATTCATTCATTGTTGCACTTTTCTCTCCTCCCAACCCTGCCCCCCTAGTACTCTACCCTCTTGGAAAAGTAAAAGAAAAATTCTTTCATTGTTTTACAAACCCTCCCCCCAAGTTCACTCCACTATGCAGCCTTTACTCTGGACTCCTGTCATGATAAAAATCCCTAATAATTTTCCCTCTTAAACAGTTCTCTCCCTCATCTGTTTCAAGGCAGTATACATTATTGCACCCATCTTTCTCAGTCTCCTCCCAACCCCGATGTCAGTCTTGTTTTACAACAGTGGCACCATGCAGTATTTGTCCTTTTGTGACTGGGATACTTCACTCAGCATAATGTCCTCCAGGGTCACCCATTTTGAATAATATTGCATGAGTTCCTTGTTTTTCCATGCAGCATAGTATTCCATTGTGTGAATATACAGCTTCTCTATCCATTTGTTTGTTGATGGGCACTTAGCTTGTTTCCAACTCCTTGCTATTATGAACAAAGCCGCGATAAACATGGGTATACATATATCTACTTGGATGTCATTTATGGTCTCTTTGGGGTATATTCCCAGTAGTGGAATTGCTGGGTCAAATAATATCTCTATTTGCAACTATTTGAGATCGCGTCATACTGCCTTCCACAGTGGTTTCACCACTTTACATTCCCACCAACAGTGAATAAGGGTTCCAGTTTCTCCACAACCTCGCCAGCATTTGTTGCTTGCTGTTCTGTTAAATTTTGCAATTCTGACTGGGGTGAGATGATATCTCATGGTTGTTTTGATTTGCATCTCTCTTAGTAGCTTCTCTATTTCATGCCTTAGTCCTCATCCTGCTGCCATCATTACACTTCTGTTGCTGCTTCTCACTGTCCATGCCATCTCCAGCTATCAGAGGAAAAGAATTAGAAATCTATTTGAAAAATAAAGAAACCAAGAGGGCATTTTACAAAATGGGAAAAAAGAGCGTCAACAACCCCTTGATAAAAGTGCTCAAAGGTGGTACAGAGTTAACAGATTGTTAAAGGCAAAAAGAAAGCAATAGATAAATGAGTATAGTTGGAGTATCTCAGATTGATGAACATTTATAAAGTTGCAGTATCAAGGTCTTAAACAGTCTGCAGGGATTGACCTCCTTAGTCCGGATGGTTTTAGGTGACAGGATTTTGGTTGAGGACCAAAATCACATGCTTCCTGGCATCTAGACATCTGCAGCCTGTGTTAAACTGAGTTACTTTAGCCTCATGATGGGGAGTTCTGATGAAATAGAAAAGCAAAGAAGAAATAGGATGACTACAAATAAGAATGCTGAGTGTCCTAATATTCTAGGAGAGAAATACAACTTTATAACTTTAGCTTATTTTAACCATAAATTAGGTTAATTAGAACAAAGGTTTGGAATAGCCCCAACATATGCCACTAGGGGTACATCATTGATTCTTTCCAACTTCTGTGGGCCACACATTCTTTGGTGATCTCTCTGCCTCATTGCATGAATATTTCTCTGAGTCTAGGGAGTTCTCAGTGCTGGGAATACAATCAATGTGACTAGTATGACCTTCTCCAGCAAAATTCAGCAGGGCAGTGACCTGACATAGAGTAGACTGAGAGAGATGGCTATGGTTTAATCAAGTGACTTCAATGACGTGAGAGGGACAAGAGAGTTGACAGTGTTCAAATAGGGTGATGATAACAAACTGATTGTCCTAGGAGGTGAAGGCTTACAAGGACAAGGTATATAGAAAATGTGGTGAGAGCAATGATGTATAGGCTTAAAAAATTGTTATACTATAGAGGTACTACAGGGTAAAAATTGGAATCTAGGAGGTAGAGGTCAGAGTGGAATATTAGAAATTGAGATTATGAAGGGTTGAAAACTTTTTGGTTGTAACGAGTGTGGTATGGCCATAAAAGTCAATGACTATGGACGTATGGCTATCAGAGAAGTGAGATATAGGTTATTGAGAGGATTAGTTATATGCAATTAGAACAGTCTCAAGATTATGATAGGAATGGCTTTGGAGGGGGAGAGACAGTGAGACAGGTCTTGAAATGTTAAAGGAATGACAGAGAATTGTTATCTATTGGGAACTGATAGATAATTAAAGCAAGGAGGCATGCTGTTTTTGTTGCTATGTGCCAACTCATAGTAACCCTATATAAAATAGCTCTGAACCTTACCCTATCCTGAGCCAGTCTCACTGACTCTGACACACCTAATTCCATTACTCCCATTACTGTGTCAACCCATCTCATCCAGGGTTTTCCTCTCCTGCACTGTTGCTCCATTCTTCCAAGCATGATGTCCTTCTCCAGGGGATTGGTCCTGCCTGGCTGTGTGCCCAAAGTATGAGAGATGGAGCTTCA